ACACAACTAGTTTGATGTAATATACCATGTGTGCTTAGATAGTGAGACATGTTATGGGACATATATTCGGAGCCATTATCTAATCATAAAACATGAATGTTTGAAGAAAATTGTGTGTTTACAAGTTTATGAAAATCTTGAAAAACTTTCAGGACTTCACTTTTAAATTTCAAAAGATACAACCAAGTGATCATTGTGAAATCATCCACAAAAGTTACAAAATATTTGTATCCGTCAAAGGACTCTAGGACTGGTCCCCAAACATCAGAATGCATGATTTCAAAAGGATTACTAGCCCTAGACAAGGAGGAAGTGAAAGGTAATCTAGTGAACTTAGAGAAGTGACAGACATCACATGAACTTGTAACTTTGCGCAGGTTTGGATATAAAAAAGACAGAACTTTATCAGAAGGATGTGTAAATCGTTGGTGCCAAAGTTGTTATTCTTGAACCAAGCTTGAAGTGACTTGGAAAACCTTGGGAATTTGGACATGCTTGGAAAGGTGGTAGAGGCCATTTAAGAAAAAACCTTCACCAATTGTCTTCTTGGTGGTGATATCCTGAAAAACCACAGTTTTTTGAGAGAAAATAGCAAGACAGTTCAATGAGTTTGTGATTTTTCCAATAGATAAGAGTTGAAAAGGGAATGAGGGAACATAAAGAGCCTCAAACTCGACATCACTAGAAATCAAATGTGTTTTTCCTCTCCCTACAACCATAGGGCCCTTGCCATTGGCAACTGACACTTGAGATGGACACGAGAGTTTTTCAAAATTATGCAGATTTGTAGACTTGTTAGTCATATAATCAGTAGCTCTTGAATCTATAATCCAATAATCATGCACATTACTTACTTTGAGAGCAGTTGAGAAGGATTGTAAGATACAGGGAATATCTTGTTGTGTCACACCTTCTTTTTCAGCCAAAAAACCAGCAAACTGCCCAAGTAAAGCAGCTTTTTTGTTGTCACCTTGACTAGTTAATCCTTCATTTTCTCCATGACCTTGTTTCTTGTGGAGGAAGGTAGTAAATTCATTGATCAGGTTGGCTGGATTGGAGGTGAACTTCTGTACTCCCTCAGAATGAGTGGTGACAGTATAATTTGTCTTATAGGATGAGTTGTGTGAACCCTTAGGGAAACCCTTGTTGTTGTCCCTTGAAGACTTGGGCCTTAGTTTAAGATGGAGAATCCAGCAATGATCTTGTGTATGTCCACCAGTATCACAGTAGCTACATTTCACAATAGGTTTCTTTCCTTTGTAGCCCCTCTCTTCACTAGTTCTGTGGTTAGAGAGATATACCCTAGCTTCTGGTATATTTGCTTTTAATTCCACAGTCATGATTTTTTCTGCGAGTTTCTTCCCTTTGAATCGTGGCACACACACTTGAGAATGAGGGAAGATCAGGATTCATGAGGACATGACTCCTGAGATCTTCGTATTCAGGACTTAAACTCGCAAGAAGTTGAAATATTTTGTCTTCCTCAGCTTTCTTGGTCAACACGGCAGCGTCAATGGTGTGTGGCCAATAGACATTCAACTCGTTCCACATGGTGGTTAACTTCCCAAGGTGTTGCACAAATGAGTTTCCTTCCTGTTGTAGACCAGCAATATCCTTTTTTAACTGGAACACTCAAGCTGTACTATTCTGATTCCCATACATTTCTTTGAGATTTTTCCAAAGAATGTAAGAGGATTCAACATAGTTGAAAATTTCTGTAATCTTTCGATCCATAGAATTTAGTAGCCATGACATGACCAACTGGTCCTTGCACAACCAGTCATTGTAATCTGATGAGGACACATTAGGCGCTGGAATAACTGACATCAACATCTAAATGAAATGAAGATGGCGCAACATGTGAGGTAACTTCTTCACCATGCATTGAACTCTCTTCAACCATGATAGAGAATTAGGAAAAACTCAGATCTCTCAAGAAACTACTCAAAAGCAGGTCGATTAGGATCACTGCTCTGATACCATATTGAAATTTGAAGGTGTATTTTCTATTATGAAGAAACAAAGTACAAAGATTGCTCATATATATGAGCGTGGGAAGAAGAGAAAAATCAGGAACAAAACAAGGAACAAGAATTAATCTTCCTTCCTTGATTTACACCTAATCACCTAACAACTAAAGCAAGATCAGTAATCGCTTGAATTAGTGAGAATGACAGCCATACTCAAGTTGTTAGAAAGCACCCCATGCACACACCCTTGCTACCAACCGGCTAGGGTAAATGACAGCACCCCATGCACACACCCATGCTACCTACCAGCTAGGGTAAATGACAGAAAGTAGATCTTCTTCCCGATCTTCTCGATCTTCTTCCAATAATTTGTATGTCTAATTTCTGAGTTTGGTTGTGAATAGTCTTCTAATTGGCAACCAATGACGTTCTGGAAGTGTGAAGTACACGTGGGATCGAACCAGCACGAGTCTACATAATTTAGGAGGTAAAGGGTACGATAAAGCATGGTACGAACATTGACTACTGGCACATGATCTGCATCGGGGATGTGATGACGTACATAGGGGAAGTGCTTCGATTGACACGACTTGGAGTGAAGAAAATGGAGAAGAGTGTGATTGCATTGGCGTCATTCGAGCAGGTGGTGGATCATTTGTTCAATGGCTGTGTGAATGGGAGAGTTGATGCGGTTAGAGGAGTGAGTACATAATTATGGGTGTGCGGGTTAGGACTGAGATGTTCAACATTAAAGTATAGGCCAGGCTAGGTAGTTCCAGTTGCTTGAGTTGAAGAAAGATTGATGAGATTATGATTTTGTAGAGCATCCCATTTCTGTTTTTGGGTAATTTGAGTTTTCTTTTCTTTAGCAGTTTATGGGTTGTTTTATAACCAGTTCGTATAGTTTGGACATTTTTTTATTTTTTTAAAAACACAGTAATGCTTGCATTCTTATGCAGTTGATATGAAGTTGGATTTCTTTCTAACCAAAAATTTGTTTACTCTAAGCTCCTTGGCGATAGGATACGACGACTTCTTCGACGTGGCCGTCGAATAAGGTCCGAGGTGATCATGGTGTGCATATTATGGCAACGAGTGGATGAAGATAAGAGAGAGTCAAGTATAACGAGAACCTAGACATTGAAGTTTATATATACCAAATGCAATTAGGAATTTAATTAAACTGGCCCTATGCAATTGGCAATTGCACTGAATATCATCAGGTATGAAGGAATAAACATATGTGTTTGATTCTATTTATCAATATATCAGTAGTAGAATTTTTTTTTTTTCATTAAAACTTCAAATTTTACCTATTGGTGACCTGTGGCATATTTTTTTCTAACTAGTTTTGGGTAAATGTACTCTTGCAACCAAAAGCACGGTTGTGTGAAAAATGGAGGAGACGTAAATTCATGTTGATGATTAAAAAAGCCTAGTTAAGGTTTTAATTGTTTTCCTTTTCCATGACTTCAAATGAATTTGATCTCATGGATATTGGGTATTGTATTTTCTAATTGTAATGCATTATGTTGCTGCAGAAGAAGTACATATAATGCCAATTGTGAATTTGGCAGGCCAAGGGGTTTGGAAATCAAGAAAAAGCTTCAGTAACCATTTATATTGTGTTGTAAGCTTTCCATATAGTGTCAAGATGAAAATATGACCAAGAGGCGTTAGCATTCAATTTAAAGCTTCCTGTAGGCAATTCCCATTCCTTATAATATTGTTGTGTTTCTGGCTGAAAGCATGCAATTATCTCTAAAATTGATTCAGTTGGTTTCTTTTGGACTACAATGCAAGACTTCTCATGACCTTTTTCTTATGCAGAGGTTCGTTTCTCATCAAATCAACTTTTTGATTTGATAGCAGGTGAGATCTAAAGATAGAATAAATGTCAAGCAATGTGGAAGGAGATGACAGATTAATTCAATAGTTGTTTGTATCTCTTTAATTTAATAAGAGGTTTGCCCTTATTATGTAAATGTGTAATTGGTGTTGAATTAAATCATAATACAGTTAGTTTAATAAATTTCGTATTTTATATTTAAAAAAAAAATTATATATATATATATATATATCAAATCATAATACATTTTACGTTCATGAACAAAGTAAAAATTTGTATGAGAAATAAAACAACTAACACAATACACCTTTAGGGGCGCGTGGCGCCCGTGATGCAAAAATGTGCGTGCGGAGAGGCTAGTGTGTGTGTGTGTGCATATATATATATATATATATATATATATATATATATATATCAAATCATAATACATTTTACGTTCATGAACAAAGTAAAAATCTGTATGAGAAAGAAAACAACTAGCACAATACACCTTTAGGGGCGCATGGCACCCGTGATGCAAAAATGCCTCTCGCACGCATTTTAGTGCGTGCGGAGAGGCTAGTAATATATAATGAGAAAACTATAAGTATTGTACAAAATGATGTAGAGGACAGTTATAAGGAGTTGGAAAACTGATAGCAACTACCACCATGAAAGGTGGAGCAGTTGCATCCTTATAACAAGGGATTCGACCCCCTTTCTCGGGTAAGTTATAAGACGTTTCCAATATGTTTCCAAGAGAAGGGAAGGTCTTAATCATATCTCAGACATCATGGCTTCATCTTCAAGTGATTCCCTTCCCACTACAAAAAAAATGGGCACTGCGCACAATAAATTATTTGTGCCCTTTGAAGCCAAAGAGCACCAACATATGTGCCTATAGACCCATAGCAACAATGCAGCAACTAAGTTTGTATTTATGCCCTCTATGAGCGTCACCTTTGATCAAAGAGCACAATACTGAGTTATGTGCTCATGATGTCAGCACAAATAAAGGGTGTTTTGTGCCTCTGTTCTGACAAAGTTGTCAGACTACAGCCATGTTGGCACTTAAAATGTAATTGTGCCTGCATGAATTAAATATTTAAAAAAATCATAATTTGAAAATTTGAAATTGAAATTGAGGGTTTTTTTTTTTTTCTTTTTTAATTTTATTTTCATAAAATGTAGAAAGCCTACAATACATTCTCAATCTCACAAACATATATTGTAATGTTACATATCTCATCTCTAATGCAAAAAGAACCTGAAAGCAAACATTTTTGGACAGATGCATCTTCCCCAACAAGCCTTGCACCTCATCGACTCTCTGCTGCTTCATAAACGAATTAATGAAGAAGATCCTCCATTTCTATTTAAGTATTCCTTCAAATAGTTTTTCCCTATCCTCTGACACAACATCAGTAAACTCAATAATTTAATGATTATAGTAATGTAAAACAAGATAATCTTAATACATAAGAATAGAACCCATCTTTGCTATTTCATAATCAAATTAATCAGACGGTCTATGTGGAATCTGGACCTTTTTCTGCCAAGGTTATGAAATGAAACCCAAATTCGAAGGTTATGAATCAATACCTATTAGTCGGATTCAAAACAAAAGCAAATCAACATCAAATATCAACCATTTCTAACACACAATATATCAAAATGAAGCTGGGACTAAGAGGAGTTCGATTTTACCTAAATCAAGGCCAAGGGATGGCCGAAGGTGATTGGAAAATGGCTTGATAGTCATGGCCAATTCGGGTCTCTACGAATCCATGACAGATTCGACCAACAAAGCTCGAATCTGGTCTTTAGGACTGTGAGGAGTTTATTTATGGTGTCAATATCATCGTCTTCAACGAGATTTGGGCAGGAAAAGCTCGGAAAACCTGCAACTCACCAGAACAGTGGAGATCGTTAGTTCTTCGTTCAATCTCACAAACGTGGTGGAAATTTTCTCATGCAAAGCCAGAAATCGACTTAGAACATCGAAGGAATTAACTGGAGGTAGTTACAAACCTTACCTTGGTCGGGAAGGCGATGAACTCGCCGGAATTCTCTCAGGTTTAAGATGTGTGGTTCTCTGATTTGAGGTTCGAGTCAAGGTTTGGGCACTAGTCCCGTGTTTGGAGACGATGATGGTGGTGGTTTGGTGTTTAAAGTCCTCGGAGAAGGTAGTGGTTCATAGTTGTATGGCTTGGGGAAAAGTGACAGAGAGATAAAATGAGGGGAAAAAATGAGAGAGAAGTGAGGGAGTTTAACTGAGAGAGCAGAATGAGACCGATAAAAGAGGCAACAGAGGAAGGGAATTGAGGTGTGGGCCTCAGTGGCACACCAATTCTACATAAAGAAGATAATTTCAAACAAATGAGAAGCGAGAGAGGCTGGACTGGCTCATAAAAAAAAAGGCGGGTGGGTGCGGGTGAGACCGGTTTCATGAGAAAGTAATAAAAAATTAAATAATTGTGTCCTTTACAAATACGGTTGGGATCACTTTTCAAAATTTGCTAGTTACTTTAATTTGTTATTGAGCACAAATATATGTTTTGTGTTCTCTTTCATAAAAAAATATATTTGTGCTCAGATTTGTAAAGTAAGACACAAAGACTTGTAAAATAGTTGTCAGATCAAAGGACATAAAAGGCTTGCGCTGCCATGTTGTGAATTCATTGAACTGTGCGGTATGAACCAGACGGGAAACATAATTATAAGCCGAAAAATATACAATGCTGGGAGTATCTATATCATGGGCCAATTAGAAAGAAAACATTATTATATTGTAATACTACATAAGTTGAGGACCCAAGAGGAGTCCAACGTAGCATAAGATAATTATATTTTCACACAGCAGTGAAATATAACATAATACAAAATATATTAATTGTCCTTGTCATCGCTGCTTAAAATCTCAATGGTAACATTCAGCATATTTCGTGAGCTCATCTATGGGAGAGACAGGCCTCTAGGACGAATTTGTGCTTCAGAAGTGTGTGGTTCTTCAATAAAAATGACAGAACTAGTGGACTTTTCAGTTGTTGTTTCAACATAAACCAAATTGATAGGGTATTGTTCTGTCCTACCTGGGTTTGCCCATGCTGGCAAAACACATCCTTAAGGTGCGCGTACAATTCCGTTATTGGAAGGTAATGCATAGCCAAGGCAACCATCAGCAACAGTAGTAAGAATGTATTGATTATCATTTGTGTCAACATATTCTTTTGCTATGGAGTGATTTATTATTTATTAATATTTACTGGAAATAATTTCAAACATTTGTGTCATAAAAAGAAATTTATAATTATTAAACCCAATGAAAAGTAGAATGATTTATTATTTATTAATATTTAGTGGACACAATTTCTATCATTAGTGTCATAAAAAAAATCTACAATTATTTGTCTATCTGAAGATCAACTTACTTTTGCACAGAGACCGACCCTAAGGGCACAATTGTTGGTTATGTGTCACTGCATGAAGTACTTTTAATGCAGTAAAAAAAATAAACACTTACTATAAAACCAAAAACCATATCACCAAGCATAAAAAACAAACCTACAGGAAGATACCAATCTAAAAAGCAGTTCAAAAAGATACGAATCTAACAAACATTCATTGCAGCTAGAAATGTTCCATTGTAAATCTAAAACAAGCCAGTACTACGGTGTAATGGTATTCTTCTTTACTTGTAAGTGACAGATCTGAGGTTCGGCTCTCGCAAAAAATGAATTTGAACAACATTATTGCTAACTTATTTTGAGACTAAAACATTACATAATAATAAACAGCTCCATACCATTATTTACCACAATTTTATAAATTTTAATTATTGGTGTGCTAGAGGAGGTAAGGACAAACGACAGAGAACATATAGTGCCTCTGACAAATAACTTTTAAGACACAAAATGCTTTTTGTGCCCATCTTCAGGAAAAAAGTTGTCATCTGACCCCACCAGGCACGGTTTTCGTGCCCATTACTATTTTGTGTCTACTTTTTTTAACATTGGGCACAATAGATGGTGCCCTCTATGGAATGGGAACTGTTTAAGCTTTTTGGTGGTCAAACTGACACAAAATTCTCAATTGTGCCCTTTGTTTTGTACCCAAAGCTCATTTTTGTTGTATTGTCCATTCATTGATTATAACCTGATACATTAGCAGGAATTAGGGTTAGTAATGTTGCTTGCATTTATTACAGTACGTAGTTCATAAGCATTGTTGTTAACTGTCTCTATGTGTTTAAGCAAACATATATATATATATATATATATATATATATATATATATTAAAGGGCCAACATGTGATATCAGAGCCACCAACATTTGCCATGAACTCGAACGAGAAAACTGTATAATTTGGACATGTTGTTAAGTATTTATTCTTCATTAATAAATGCTTCCACTGTTCTTTATAACAAATATTTTATTCCTTGCCTGATGATTTAGTGTTTTCTTATTGCAAGCACTTGCTATAAAAGTATATATAAGTTTTACTTAGATTTATAAACTAACTTATTATGCAGCAAATTTTCTTTTTCAATTCTCTTTGAAATTTTGTTGTATCACATCTTCTTCAAATTGTCTCAATTTGTATAAATGAGTCACCATAGTGATTTACATTCCTTAATCATGGTTCTATTATATCAGACATTTAATTCCAAGAGTGTGCTACATATTGAAAATTCAGATCAGGTTCTATGGAACCATGTTAATGTCTTTTGCAGACACTACAAGTATAGTCAGTTATAAAAGATGATAGTTCATGTATACAATTTTGCCCAAAGGCATGCAGTTTACATTGATTATTGTATTTTGTAAATGTTTATACAGATTTGTGATTCATATATTTTGATTATAGACAGTTTCTTGCCTAAAGGTGATACTGATTCTATGAGTTTAAGCATGACTTCATGTCATTCCATATGAATTTACAAATCATTATATACACATTATGCAGATTTCAATATGTTGAGCCTGATCAACATTGAGAAACTGAAGCTTGGAAACAGAAAGTTGAAATGCATTTGGGAATGCTTGAGTTCGACATTGCCTTTAAGTTACCTTAGACATCAGCATTCACAGATGACAGTACTTCACTACAAAGGGATAGATTTTCCAAATGGGAAAGAGCTAATCGAATGTCCTTGCTCATTATGAAAAATGCCATGGAAGATCACATAAGGGAAGGGATTTCAGCCTGTAATCCTGCAAATGAATGCGTGGCAAAGATTGAAGAAAAATATAAGAGATCAGACAAAGCTGAAACTGGTGTATATCTTTCTAAGTTAATTAATACCAGACATGATGGTGTTGGTAGTGTGAGGGAGCATTTACTTAAGCTTGTTAATCTCTCCAACAAGCTTAATGCCATGGATATTGGCATTACTAATCATTTTTTGGTCAATTTGGCATTGTACTCACTGTCAAATGACTATGAACACATCAAAATTAGCTACAACACTCATAAAGAATCTTGGACCCTTAATGAGCTAATTGCGAATTGTTGTTAAGAAGAAAGGCAAAAGAAAGTCAAAACTGAAGTTGTCAATCTTGTTCATGTGAAGGGTAAAGGAAAGATGATAACAAACTACAAGAATCCCAATTACAAAGGGATTAAGTAGACTCCACAGAAACCCTTTTCTATCTTTCCTCCCAAGAAACTTTTCAAGCCTTTCAATATTTCTGTAAAAAATGATGGTCCTTCCAATGCTAGTCTCAAACTTAAAAAATTTCATTTTAAGAAATGCCATCAATGTCATTCCACTGAACACTTAAGGAAGGATTGCCCTGCATTTAAAGCTTAGCTCTTAAGGAAAGGAAACAAAGTCATTGATGTTTTTGTTACTGTTGAATCAAATATGGTGTTTATTCCTTCCAGTTCTTGGTGGTTTGACACTGGAAGTTCTGTTCACATTATGAACTCTTTGCAGGGACTTCAAAGCATGAGGGAGACAAATAGGAGCGTCTACAATGTTTATGTTTGAAATGGCAGTAAAGTGGTTGTTGAATCTATTGGCACTGTTATGTTAAAGTTGTCTTCTGGTTTTGTTTTAATTTTGAATAATGTACTATATGTACCTTCGATGAAAAGGAACCTATTTTCAGTGACTCAATTTGTAAAAGATGACTTTTCTTATATTGGGGATAAAGACCAAATTCGTTTTTTCATTCACAATTAGTATGACAACTTGCTTGGTTATGCTTTTCTCAATGGTGACTTAAGGAAAATTAAGTGCACCTACTTTCAAGAATGTTTTAATATAGAACATGCTGCTTCAAAGAGAATGCATATTGTTGATAGTTCTTCAATTCTTTGGCATAGAAGGCTCGGACACATCTCCAAAGATCGAATGTTAAGACTAATGAAAGATGGTGTGTTGGCATAGTTGGAACTTAATGATATTGAGAATTGCATTGACTGTTTTAAAGGAAAAACAACCAATTTAGTTAAGAAAACAAGTGCCAAAGGAAGTGATGATCTGCTACAAATCATTCACACTGATGTATGTGGACCATTTCCAACAAGAACACTATGTGGAAATTCCTATTTTGTTCTCTTTATTGATGATTTTTCTCGATACACTTCTATTTTTAATCTCAAAACAGTCTCAAGTGTTAAATTGTTTTAAAATTTTCAAACTTGAAGTTGAAAAACAGTTCAATAAGCATATTAAGATAGCGAAATCAGATAAGAGAGGTGAATATTTTGGCAGATACACTGGAAGTGGTCAACACAAAGGTCCATTTACATTGTATCTTGAACAAGAGGGCATTGTTGCTCAATACACCACTCCTGGTACTCCATCACATAATGGTGTTGTAGAAAGAAGAAATAGGACTCTTAAAGACATGGTGAGGAGTATGTTGTCACAGTCACAATTACTTGAGTTCTTATGGGCAAAAGCAATTAAAACAGCTAATTATATACTTAATCGAGTTCCCACCAAAGCAGTTCAAACCACTCCTTTTAAGACATGGACAGATCGAAAACCTAGCTTCAATCATTTTCATACTTGGGATTATAGATGTGAAGCTAGGCTATATAATCCAAATGAAAGAAAATTGGATATGAAGACTACTAGCTGCTACTTTGTTGGTTATCTAGAAAAATGTAAAGGGTTTAAATTTTACTGTCCTAGTGCACATAAAAGGATAGTTGAGAGTCACAATGCAAAGTTTATTGAAGACTTTAGTTTATCACAAGCACATTCCAGACAACCTTATGTATTTGAAGAGCATGCAGAACATCCACCTCTATCTCAAGATCCTACAATGACCAACACTATTACAATTTCATTATATTTATCTGGTGCGGAGACACCATTTCTATTTGTGAC